AAAAAAAAAAAAAAAAAACGTTTTTGCGTGTATAATTATAAGAAATTTACCTGATCGTTAAATGACCAAATTGTTCATCTAATAAACGCTAAATTAACTTTTTACTAGTTGTTCATATACCGCCACTCTCTCCTCATGCTTGCTTGTCTAAAAAATTTTCACAAGAAAGCGGAAATGCATCAAAATTGATTTAAAATACGATCCTAGAACAATGTATGTAATCCACTCTTGGTACATATATTATTGATACATGTAATAAACACAAAGTAATTTTTATGAGAAGAACTAAATAGTTTTCTTCTTCAACGTTTATATAAAATGGGAGTAAAACTCTACAAGGCGCTTGATGGATAAAATAACCATGGCATTTCACGCTTATAATCCGAGTTTTTAAACTTAATTTCAAGAGGGGTAAACATGTAAAGCGCAAGCTCATCTTCCACATAGCCCTCTGATACCAGCTGTTAGCACTACTGGATTTGTTCTTTACTACAACTTCTGTATGCTGAGTGTTTAGCAAGGAGACAGCAGGTACCTTTTTAAGGATGGTCTTTGGTATGACCCGACCGGGGATTGATCCACGGCCCACTGCAACGAGGGTAAGCACTCACTCTAGGATTTTCAGTCGTCTACCTCTCTTCCCTAACGAGCCGGTGAGGAAAATGGGCTAAATGGGGAATTTAAAGTGACTCGGTGTGATGTAATGAACATGGCGATGTCATGCGATAAGTGAAGGAAAAGGCGCAGATTTCAGTCTTCCTGTCTATTATTAGAAAAACTAAAGGTTACAATATTAGCATGGTTTCTATTACCTTTGTCTTGAAACTAGTTCACTTCGTAATAGATTTCGTGTACCTTTTATGGCAGTGTTAACGTTAATAGAAAGTGCTACATGTAGCAGATACCGTTTGTGTTCAGAAACCGAGTTTCAGTCAGAAAAGAATTTCATCAGCTGTATTATATGTAATAAAAATAAAGTATTAATTTTTCTTCAGTCAACAGCTAAAATTGAAATTCTTTATTTCCAATATTTCGATGTCTGTCTAGAGCATCATCATAAAGGTATGAGGCTCTACAGGTGAATAGAGTTCAAACTTTTGAACGTCTGCTATTGAAAATATACAGCTTTAAGGGATGATTTAAAGAACACTTTAGCCTAGCGCTCAGATGGCTAAATTGTATGCTTATTTTAAGGGAGTAATGCCTCAGTGTGAATCTGTATCACACATACACACACACACACACACACACACATAACAGAAACTTGATTGTTTGTTGAATCCGTAGGTGACTATGAGGAAGCTGTATACATGTGATCTGGTGGTTAAAGAGTACGACACGTGCAAGTTTGACCACCAGCGTTGCACATACCTTAATGCTGCATCAAGCATTTTAGTGAAAATAGGTTATTGGTCTAAATGATTAAATTACAAGCAGGTAGGCAATGTTTTTTTTTTTTTTTTTTTTTTTTTGGGGGGGGGGGGGGGGGGTTAGAGAGGGGGTCGAGAGAACCAAAACTGATAAAATGTCTGTGCCACTTCTCAAGTGAGGTCAACTAACGGGTTGCGACCTGTTAGGAGTCCTTAATAATTAGAACCTGCAGCATGTGCTTACGTATTTATAAATCTATACAACAGCTTCTAGTTACATCAGAAACTTGATTATGGAATCCGTATACGGTTATGTAGAAGCCATATATTGTGTGTCATATATGTGGAGGTTTGGTGTGTGTGTGTGTGTGTGTGTGTGTGTGTGTGAGGGGGAGGTGGCGAAAGGAAAACCCACTTCGCTGTCTGCTCTGAATCATCTTTTGATCCAGGTTCATTGCCATTCTTCCAGCTATGTCAACTGACGGGTTTAGATGTCGCCATTTTAGAACCGGTAACATAGGACATTGAGGGTCATAGTATCAGTACAAAGAAAAAGAAAATGAATAACTAAAACATAAAATGAAAAATAACGTGATGTTAAGTAATATGCGCTCGAAACAGATTAACATGTAGAAAATGGAAGAATTAAAGGCAGCTATATGGAGAAGAGAGGAGGGTATTTACCTAAATTAAAAGTGCCTGTAAAATGAGATTTGCGGTTTACCGCCATTATGTCAATTCAACATGCTCACTTTTAACATTTCAGATTCATTACTAGTGAAATAACCCAGGAAAGTTGGGCCTACACAGCCACATCAGGCGAACGTTGGGTAATTTCCAAAGTGATCACATTTGACAGAGGACAGCTTCGAAATCAAAATCAGGCAAAAACGCGATTAAAAGTCCTCTTAATTGTGCATTTTGTGTATCTTTCATTGGAGAAAAAACGGACGTTGCTGTGACTAAATTATAAATCCAATTTTTTTTTTTGCATTTAGCCAAAAGATCTGTTATTTCTTTAAATGTCTAACGCTTAGCGTAATTTATGTATACATGCAGCTTAAATTTGATAATTAATTTCGGTCTCTTAATATGCCGATAACAAGCGAATAATCCGTTCATAATAATAATAATTATGACAAATCTGAAAAGTCATTGTCGGAAAGCTAAACTACAGTAAAGTCAGCGTGGGGAGTTAACCGTTAATTTTACAAACAAAACTATAGAGGGCGCTAGTGACCTACATGTGGGATACAGATTCACTCATAATCATTATATCTCGTCACTACAAGCTTTCTTCACTGTCTGCAGCGCTTTTATAAAGACGTCACATATGACACGTGCACGGGGCATTTAATTAAGGAATTCAAAGAGACGAATGAAATAAAGTCTATCATGTTGAGAAAAAGTAATTTTTTGAAAGCGTACTTGTGAAGGCTTTTATCCCGACTCTCGGGACTCCCAAACCCTAGGATGTCAGGCGCTAGTCTTTGTATAGTGACCAGTGAGCACTGCTCCCTATAACACTGTCCCAGTTGTGAGACAGGTGGTACCCCCTCTCCCAAACCCTAGGATGTCAGGCGCTAGTCTTTTTATAGTGACCAGTGAGCCCTGCTCCCTATAACACTGTCCCAGTTGTGAGACAGGTGGTACCCCCTCTCCCAAACCCTAGGATGTCAGGCTCTAGCCTTTTTATAGTGACCAGTCTAGTGAAGCCTGTTCACTATATAACACTGCCCCAGATGTATCCAGAAGCAAATATCCACATCAGAAGTTTTCTTTAATTATAGTTTTTAAATGTCTGAATTGGAAAACGCGTTCAATACTGGAGGGGGTTTCTTTTATTTGTTAATAGGTGTGTCGGACTGTAACGGCATCGGTGACGTCACCAATAGACGGAGGTAAATAGACTGATATACAGTATATATACACTAACGTGACTTCAAGTGACTGGATATAAAAAACACTGACACCGTAAAATTGTGAATAGAGTAGAAAACAACACACATACTAAAATGCTATCATAGAATTTATTTCAAAGTCAGGATGAAGAGCCACAACACTGAACGGTAACATATCTGCTGTGCTGAAATAGTCGAGCACGAGAATCTCGTACTCTACGAGATCTTTTCCCAATCCCAAGTGAATCACATGTGGCGTGGAGATTTAACCGTTCAATTGCCATTGCCTCCTCAACGTTTCCTTGGTGTCGGCCCACAATTGTATGTCCCGCCCCAACAACTCATCTTGATTTTGGAAAAAGACCAAAAAACTACGAATAACTGATATGCAATATACAACTAGACACTTTGAATTGAATAGACTACATACAATGGTAAAGACTAGACGTCCTGAAAATGTTCATTTTAATACAACTTGTACATATATATCATATATATATTTATATATTGACTCATAGCATAGTTATTGACCATGCCCTTACTCACAGCTTGCACTGAAAGGAAAATAAATAAACTCTTTGCAAGAATTTTGGGATTGCATTTTGATTGTCACAAGGGTGGACAGAATAAAGGTGGGTGACGCTAACGTGAAATCCTTGGGGGTAAAATGACGTCATTTTAGATAGATGACACGAAAACAGGATCATCCATAAGATGTGGCGTTAAATTGATCCGTTTACCGACCCCCCCCCCCCCCCACCTCACTCCTAAACGGCTGCAATCATAATGACAATCAGGACACAAAACCAACTTCAAGGAAAGAGGAATTGCAGAAGCCTCCAATGAAGACAAAATTAGCATCACATTCACTGACTTAATTAAATACAATAGCCGCCTCTTTAATGTTGATGGGTTGTTGTTTGTGTTACATTAAAGATGTTCCCGTCACTTAGGGCGTTCTCACCCGTTAAGTGCCACTTAAAGCATGAAATTGGGTAGGAACAACCTACAACATATCAAAGACGTCATGAAAACAAATTAGAAACAATTGGATGCCACATAGTGCCCTGCTGGCCGCTAGATGGGTGGTCAAATTCTGACCAGTGCCTGTTATACCATGGGCAAGATAAAATGCTGCTTGTAACAAACGCTACAAGGTTACTAGTAGTTACATGGTCTCTTTACACAGCGATAAATTGCTCCCCTTTGAATTTTCTAACCCTGTATACGAATTAAATTGGAACGAGGTCACCATTTGCAAGTGACGCGTAACTAAGCAACATAATCACAAACTCTCAGCTACTTTAAACACTAGTTACCATGAGAAATACTCTTTGAAAAATAAAGTAATGAAAACCATCATCAAACATGCCAAGAACAGCTCATTAATTGTCATGATGACCGAACAGGAGAAAAATCACCCGATTTTCTCTCTGTTCTCGATTACTTGAAACGGTAGTAACCAAAATACAAATGAGGAAAGTCTATCGCTATATTGTAAGTTATCTAAATATCCATTCGAAACATGAAACATTATCATTCTGTGGTTTTATATAGATATACTTATATACTCAAAGCTACTGCATCATAGAAGAGATTCTCACCGCATACGGTGTGTGCGATTGAGTGGAACACTTTGAAACAGAACAAGTCACACTTAACTAACGGCGTCTGCCAACATTTTCTCTAGCGTAACACGCGTACGGGCCCAAAGTTTTTCACAATTTCGACATATTTGTGATGATCTTCCCTGTATCGTATTTTGTTTTTATATAGAAGGCTAATATGTTACGACTGTCCCATGACATGGCTGTCGATATGTCACATAACATTGGCTGTCAATACGACAGCAATCACCAAACCACTATTGCACATGTGCCTGGATGCCTTACGAATATACTGAGTACAAACTGGGATATGTTTCCATTCCATACTTATGCCTGGTTATATGTGCATTAGCATACACAAATAAGAAACACCCACATTGTCATATGTATAAACTGTATGTCCCACAAGGCCCCTGAATTTGACAACTGTCACCAGCAAAAATTGAAGCCACAAGTTCCCCTGCTCGTTTATCTCACCAATACTGTGCTCGGCTCCAGAGCGTTGGCAAGGCCTAGGGAAAAGGTTCTGGGTTACAAACGATATTAAGTAGAATTTGTCAATTGTCAAATCAAAATAACCGGAATTACTGCTCAGTGGTTTTTTTCTTCAGAACAGAATGTACGTGTACTAATGACGTGTGGGCGTGTGTGAGTTAGTGCATGGTTTGGGAACTGTAAGAATGTGACCGAGTATTGTTGTTACTTTGGGATAACTGAGGTCTGCTGTTACTCCAACTTTGATTTTTGCCACGCATCCTTACTTGTCTCGACTTCCCTCTTTGATTGAACACGGGTATTTTTTCTGTTTAGTATGGAAGAATATCTTTGCACTGTTTTAGTCAACACTCTTTTCAATTCCCTCACATTCACGGTTTGATTCGCTGAGCCGTAAAATTTACATTTACAAAAACGGGAAAATTAACGCCACTTTTTTTGGCTTTTGACAGATATTGGCTTTTTCCCACGACCTAACATGGAACCATACGGGCCGTCCGTCACCTACGTGTTTTTTTTTACTGAAAAAACACAGTTCTTGGCAGTCTCTACATGTAACATAGTACACAAGTAAGGAACAACCTGTCTCCGTCTACAGTTACGGTGACATATCAAACAAGTTCAAGCAATTACACTCTTCCAAAGTAAGCGATTTCTTAAAGAACCCTGATAATGATTCATTATCAACAGATTTCAGTAACAAAAAGAATTACAGTCATATCTACTACATCATATCATAAACGGATACGCAAAAACGTTAACGTGATAATCCCATCGAAAGAGTTGCTCCTTTTCTGCTTCACTACTAAGACAACTCCTTTTCTGGACAAGAATGTTCTTCTTACGACCAAAGTCCGTAGGGTATCACCCAGTCACAAGGCCCTTTTCAGTTCACTCGATAGAGGGCTTGCAGTCAAGACGTTCCTTATTCCAACGTCCACTCTATGATCTAAGATTCGCCCAATTATATCCTGCGTCAATGCGGCAAACGGCCCACAAATTACGAAGACATTGATATGACCAGGCGTGTCTTGTTCTTATCCAAAGGAACGACGATGTTCGCGGATATATTCAGATATCATCGTGTCATATTGAAGTTAAAAACCACCGCCGCAGTCTTCCATATATCTTATGGAGTGAAACATCGTCGCAGTATACCTTGCATGTACGCACATTGTCGTCCGACGTCACCCCTAGTTTATTCAGCCGCCAGAGGGCGTTGATAAGGCGCAAAACATCAAGACCTCCTGGCACGGAATCATCAATGACAAAGTATTATGTGGATTAATTTGCTGAACGCAAACTAATGATAAAAATAAATATCTAAACCATGGCCATTACTGAAGCGTTTACCAAGAGCTGTACATAGGCTATAATCCTTGTGATGAATGTTTTTAGCAAGTTCGATCCCTCTGAATTGCAAGAAAGGAAGCTATATCATAGTTGAACGTACAATGCCACATGAACGTATTCAAATGACGTGCAGTTTCACATAACAGTGCAAGGCGGACTTGCTATTAAACAGACTATGTATTTATATACGAGACCCTCTTTGGTGGTGGCGCCATCTTTGGTGATGTCGCCTCACAGAGTGCTCCTGAAACTTGTCACAACATCAATACAGTCAAGGTGAATCGTGCAAAGACTTTTTATAAACCCTGCAACAGTATCCTGGTCTTATTGTAAACTGCTTATAGCATACACAAAACCTTTTGTTAATTTTTGTAGAACTGTTTTCTGGTTTATATATTCCTTGATTCCGCAAATTGAGCTTCTAGAATATTAGAACATTTTCCTGATTAGTTCGCTTTGAGTGACAGCTTGCTTGTGGACATCTTTCAATGCATGTGTTGTCTGTACGTGTTTGCGTGCGCGTGTGTGCGTGTATGCATGAGTGTTGGAGAATGCCTTGCCTTTCAGGATTACCGGCGAAAAGACCAGTGTTGAAGCAAAAACCACGGTATAGTGACACCAACCACTGCCCTTCATGGACTTTGCAGTACTAAACAATTCTTTACAATCCACATGCTTCCAGATTTTTTGCTATAATAACATCCGTAACTGCATCAAAAACAAATTGGATGTTGGTCGTGTCGGTAGCACAGGTTTGATGACAATAGATTTCCTTGTAACTGGTGCTTTTATTCTTTGCTTCAAATTGAGCTTGAATGTACGCTGCTGCATCCTCGTAACTCTGTATACCTGGAATTTGTAAAAAAGGCAGTTACATGTACATGTCAGAGTCTGTGACGCCTCACACACTGGTTTTGTTGCTGATGCACAGTTCTGAAAACTTGAACAACATCAATACAATCCGCATCCACGTAGATTGTTTGCAATAATTACATCCGTAACTGCATCAAAAACAAATTGGATGTTGGTCGTGTCGGTAGCACAGGTTTGATGACAATAGATTTCCTTTGTGGTGCTTTTGTTCTTTGCTTCAAATTGAGCTTGAATGTACGCTGCTGCATCCTCGTACGTTTGTTTACCTGAAAAAGAGAAGAACGCCATTTACACATTGAACACGCAGAATACAGGTGCAAGGAGTTCATGCGATAGAAGCAAAAATGACCTACCGACAAACTTCACCAATTATTCACTCTACAGAAAGCGACAGGGAAAGTTTACAGAGAACCAGCTAAGCGACAAACTTTTGCATCACCCATCTACTGCACGCGGTGTTTGTGTTTACGTGTGTGTGCGTGTGGGCGCCCGTGCGCGCATGGTGTACATGCCTATGTTCATGTATCTTGACAAGTTTAAATGACAATCCTACTTTTTCATATACTGTATAATACTGTATTGTATACTTGTTTAACAACTACATAGCCAAATGTTACCTTGCGTATTGTCTGTAATGAGATGAAAGAAAACGACAATAGATTTTAAGAATTTTTCATAAATTTTCAATGCAGTTAATCAAATAACATCCGTCTTCTAAAATCAAAATCGCAATGGTGCTTTCTTCTGGTTTGCTTTTTATACAGAATGTGCCCAAAATGAAAGTGACACTGGCCATGCGTATCACTGCTAATTCTAACGGATGATAAAAACAGTGTAGATATAATTTATAAACAAACTTCTAAGGTAGAAGACGGTTTTTTGAAACAAAATTATTGCCAAAATAAAAATGAATATCAGAATGTCGTGCGACGCATTTGATGCAAGGAGTGTTCTCTCGTGTTTGGCGTATTTAAAGTAACTTGGTTGCGTTTCACGGCAGTGTCAGACGTCTAGCAAGCAAGGCGGAAGGGAAAAGATAAAATATTGGGAGCAAGAAATAAACATCGTCAAGCACTGTCACACCGTGATGACTTTTTTTCATATTTTATAGCGTACAATGTACGATGAGTACGTTATGGATAAACGTTGCACTTAGTGGTATGTACAGCGAGCAAACATAAGCACAGTGCAGTACGCCAAGGAAATTTTGCAATAAATCTTGGATGATATGCTCGCGTCAAGGTATGACAGCCCTCAATAGCTGAAGCCAAAGGGTGTAAAAACAAAACAAAACAAACAAACAAAACAAACATAAAAAACATGCCAAGTCCTTCTGAGCATAATATTTCCAAAGCATCACAAAGGAAAATGTGAAATGTTTCAGATCTTATAAAACAATTTCAAAATTTAAAAAAAAAACATTTATTATTCACAAGAATCTGTACATAATTCACTATTTATATTGTTTACATGCGTCTGTGCGCGCGCGTGTGAGACAGTCACAATGATGAGAATGGCCAATAATATTGGAAGCATTTTGTGAATAACTTGGTCTCTATGAAGGAAGAATGCCCCTGGCACACTGGGAGATCGCCTGGAGAGCGGATTCTGGTCCATTCCCACAATGGCGAGAGTGGGTCAAAAGTCCGTCTCCAAGCGGTTACAAGCCCTGTGTAACAGGAAACTAGGGAACAACCGAAACCAGGCCCGTAGCCAGGGGGGTTCGCGGGGTTCGAAAGAACCCCCCTTTTTGCTGGAAAAAGGTCCACTCTGGGTAAAATTTGACCTAGGTACATGGGGATTATATGGTAAAAGGTCAACTTTTTCAGAAAAAGACCCCCCCTTTGAAATTGCTGGCTACGGGCCTGCGAAACCATGATAAATTCGACTATATCGTTAACATTTGAAACATTTTAAAAGGAAACATAACATATTAAAATTGAAACATAACCTAAAACGAGCAGAACTAAAATAAATGTGCTTTTAACTTAAATATATTTTGTACTAATATATGTAAAATATAAATTTGAAGATGTCTGATTAAACAAGGAACACCGAATGTAAATCTTATAAATACGTGGTAAATTTTTTACATGTACAATATAAGTTTAATATGAAAATACAGTATGCTCCATAAAGTCAGTAACGTGTACGAGCTCTCAGTTCTATTCACTCCTTTAAGTAAGTTAGGATACAGACGCTAGATTATATTTCATTCCGTACCGAATTCAGAGAAATCTCAAGCCCGAAAAAACTGAAGGCTTTTGTACATTAGATATATACCTAACAGTCAGAAGATTCGTTTTGAAACTAAAAAATGTTAACAAAAAGAAAACAAAAGAATGATAACTTACCTGTGTACTCTGGAAAACATATTGTGAGTGGTGATTTCTTAATTTTATCTTCAAACAAATCTTTTTTGTTGAGGAAGAGGATGATCGACGTGTCCGTGAACCATTTATTGTTACAAATGGAATCAAACAGTTTCAAACTTTCCTGCATACGATTCTGGAAAAAGATAATGGGAAAATATCAGGCTCATATCAGACGACGAAATGATCAATATTACTCTGTTGTACAGATAGTTTTTATCCAATTGCAGAAGCATGTTTAATTATCTTATTAAAATACACCATTTCGAACATTTTTACATTATTTAATAACTTTTAACCTAATTAGTCATTCTATCGACAGACTACAAAAAACTGGTTCTGTACAAATAGTATAACAAATTATCATTCTAAAAGAAATTTTTAGTTCGGGTTCTTACTGTAGTTTCGTCCTCGTGGAGTACTTGATCGTATTCACTCATAGCTACACAGAAGATAATAGCCGTAACATCTTCAAAACAATGTATCCACTTTTTGCGTTCGGATCTTTGTCCGCCGACATCAAACAATCTGAAATATGAAGTTTTTCAAGGCATTTTTCATAGGTAACGAAGTAATTCATGGAGGGTACGGGATCGGTGGGTGGGGGGGGGGGGGGGGGTCAGCCGAACATGTGCCCCTTTCTCAGTTTCTCTCCTCTCTCTCAACGCAGTATAACCAGCAGTAGTGATGCCGTGGCGTTACCTTTTAGACGCCATTCGGCAAAAGAGGTTTATGCGGTGCTGGGAACTCTTACTTTACGTCTACTTCGGGGGTGGGGGTGGGGGGTTGAGGTTGGCGCCTCAAGTAACTAGTGTTTGGTACATGTCAACAGACCACTGCTATCAATATGGGATTTGCAAAAAGTAGGGCTAAGAACGAGTGCAATTACTGGATGTGCAGGTAATGATGTATCAGGTATTAAGATCAACCGTGTATTTGTTGACAATTCTTTCAGCTTAAATAGCGTGGGGATAGCAAATGGTTCTACCACACGCGATGTTTACTGCCAAGTCCAGTCGTTGCCCTCGGATAATATGATAATCCTAGTTACTTATACTACACCCTGACAATTCAGATTTTACTGAAAATCAATCGCCATGATGGTAGTGGTGGTTTGTCCTCACTTATCTCGGAAACTCAGGGTTTTGGGCGATCAACACGTTAAAGAAATCTCGACTGCTGGTAACGCATACAATAACAGACCTCTATTCAAGAAAACAACACGTGCTTTCGTGCTGTTATTGAGGTTTGTGATGTTAAGTTTCGAATAATGAGCACTGATTCCCAATTACGAATTTGAAAATGAGAAAATAACAACAACGTGTACCTTATCAAATTAATGAAGACATTAAAAACAGCGCACTGACATGTATCTTATATGTTTACAAATTGATTGGATACTACTTGTAGAAGTGCTGAATAGTGTACTCACTTGAAATTTAAATTCTTAAAAGAGAAGTGTACTTCTACGATACCAGTTGTCTTAACTCTTGTCCTAAGTATGTCTTGCTCGGTTGGCATGTAATTTTTCTGTCCTAAACGATCTAAATCATCTAAAAAGCTGAAATAGAGACGTTATATTGCTCATGCAGAGCAGTTTGACATTTACAAGCATAATCATACACGCACGCCCAACTAGAAAATAACACATAAAATGATGGATTGAGAGATACTTCATATACCTAATTTAGTTAAAATATTAACTTTGCATTAATTTGTTCTAACTTTCCAGGACTTATTTGATGAAAATAACACTCATCTTAAAAAAGTTTCTATGAAATAAATAACAAACCTTTATCCTCCTTAATCTCTTAATCTCAAGGTCTTATTCACCATTAAGCAAAAATACCAGATTCAACCCCGGTTATAGTTATATACAGCACTGGAGTCAGTACTTACTATTTTGCTGAATCATTTAGCTGATATTCATTAGATCTACCAAAACATTCTTGTACGCCGCTGTCGGACCATAGCCTCTTCATAGCCCCCAGTAAGTCCTCGGAAAAAGGCTCTGTATCTTCCATTCTGGCAATTACGTCCAATACCATTTTTGCATCAGACTGAAATTAGAAAAGCATTTCTCAATATCCATCTGACTGAAATTATATTAGTGCATATCAGTAAGTAATAATATGTAGTCATGTTTCAGTTTCAAGTTGTATCAATATGTGACATCGACAGTATGTTTCAATACGTATCGATTTGTATCAATATGTGACAAAGTGAACCTATAATCATTCACAAATACTAATCACTGTGACACATTGTACACATTATACACATATGTATCAACTTGATTCAATATACAAATGCCTACTAAGGAACATATCATATCAATTGCTGAGTCTTAACGTCAAAATTATGAATACATGCATATTAATATCTAACAATACAAATGCTATATTCATCAATATTAAGCTGCTTTGCGTTGAGATTAATTTTTATATACACATGTACTGTTCATCTATTTTTTCTTGTGGCTTACAGATATATCGTTTGATTAAATAAAGGAATGTTTTACAGTTGCTAGAAATGTCGAAAGGAAATGCCTCCTCAAATTTCGAATTCAGTTTTGATGTCATGCAATGTAGACGTTATGCAATGGGAAAGAAACATATACTTTGCACACAGTATAGAGGTAACATTTTAATGACTGTATGCGGCTAGTGCTTAAATTATAACTTAAGTTATTAAAATTTAAATAACATTAGAACAGTGTTATCATGACCTGGCTTCAGTTGCTTTTATAACCTAAGAAAATGCATCAGTAAATTGAATTGTACCTGTCGATTTTGTTGGCCAAGAATAAAAGAACATTTCTCAAGTTCACAGACAGTTAAAACTCATAAAAAGAAGAAACTGACTTTAGGCGTTTTTGTGACCTATATTTAACAAGAGATTTTCAGGTAAATACACCAAAAGGTAAAACAAGACAAATATTTGGAATTTTGACAAAATTTACCGAGCAACCTGGCGTTTTGCCTTCGTGAGAATATTAAGCAAGTTCTGCCATAATAAATTATCAAAAGGATCCATAGAATTTATGGTTAACTGCCATAGTGTATATGCACTTTCCCATTTCCGACACGCCGAATTCCTTTACAGAAAAGCCAGAGGGACGCCACAAAAAATGACGAGAAGCGTGCGAGATGAATGTTATGGTAATGACAGTTGCTATATTTAACTGTGAGGGCAGTGAAATATGGCGTGGGGTCGACAAATAAAAAGAATCACACTTCTTGGCTCTAACATTTGGTGGAACCTTTTTTGAACATTAAGAGACTAACTTCTGGTTTACCAGAGTATCTGTTTATTTTGAAGCTACCAGTGAATTCAACTGATATGATAAACATATTTGAATACACACCTCTATATCTACCTCATTAGTATAGTAAGGTTATTTTGTTAAATTAAAGCATTTATCTGATACATATGATAGTTACTGATTTACTGTGCGTTTTACCCGTACTTCTCAGTAACATATTTCGTTTGGTTTCACAAAGCTACAATATATCAAGAATCCAGTAGATATTTCGGTATGCATCCTCCAAAAAGGGGGTTATTGATAGCAAAGAACGAGTACAGATCGCTTCACCTTCCTGTTATATCATGTAAATTCGTGTTCTGAGGTAAATATAACCCTCTTCTGGTCCAAGTCACGTCCCAGTGGTACCTGACGGACGCCCCATCCAGCATTCAACTTCTGAGTTGATATGTGTGCCGACATTTTCAATTATTTCCCATAAATCAAGAGGCAAGAGTGGAGTGGAAGAGGTCGGAGTGCTGTAAGAGTGACTGATTTGCTGTGGTGTCGGAACCAACAACTCCTGCTCTACCCTTCCTATTAATACAATAATGGCGTCAATAAAGAACCGAAGGTACAATGTACTCTTACCCACTATTTTGGAGGGGGCGGGGGACACAGTTGGTCAAGTCCCATCCCATAACACCTCCCCCCCCCCCAGCTTGGGGTACCCACTTCTCCTTCCCCCCAAAACGCTAAAACAATTAAGTACGTGTCAAAAACATGCAATTTTCCCTGTGCCGTACACATTATGGTAAAATGTTGCTCGTCTTCAATAACGTGCGAATAGAGGCGAGTGTTTTTTTTAAATATATTTATTTATTTGCATTTTATTTTGTGCACCAGGCCCCCTCCCCTCTCAACACCTTTGGCAGAGCCCCAACGTGGCCACCAGCGACCACACCTACATTGTGTGTAAACCGCACTAGGAGAGTGGGACATCCTAATACCGTTGTTTTCCTCCAGGTGACTTATTACCAGCCGTGTTCCTGTACGGCTACATTTAGGAATGGGTCTAATTCTTTCTGTGTTAGACAACCGTTTATGTAGTTATTCATGCAGCACGGTATATCTTGTGTGAACGCAGACTTTATCAGCCATAGTCACTTCAAAACATATTTCACTGAATAATTTATTTGCCACTATATTCCATTAGGTGCATATGTTCGCCTGAAGGGCACTGCCGATGTTATTGGATCGGTTTGAAATGTACCTAAAACTGAAGAGATAGGGGAAGAACCACGTGGGATAATTAGACTGAGTGCAACATCATTTAAGGAACGTCTTTTTTTAATTGAAATGTTGGGTCTCTCTTCCCACAGCCTCAACCTCCGCCATTTTGAATATGCCAAATCGATACAAAAGCTTTCTGTAGCGATATATCATTACCGAAAAACAGTAATATTAACAAGGCAGCAAAGCTGTCAAATGTACAGACAAAAAGCAGGAAATAACTAGAGGATCAGAGAGGCGATACCGCCTCCGAATATTGTACCTCCAGCTGGAGCAAGCGCATTCGTATAGACCCCCACATACGCAAAATAAGGGACACAGCCGCCAGTTTTGTGCTTGACAAGCTGTAAAAATGNTCGGCATCGGCATCGGCATCGGCATCGCCATCGCCATCGCCATCGGCGACGACAGACGCAGGTGATGGCAATATGTACAGACACATCTGCATTGCCTCCTTTTCACGCCCCATTTAAGTCAAGGTGAACGGAGTCTCGATTTTAGTTCAATGGCAACCTGCTATCATCAAGATAAGCTCAAAAGGGGACCAATACAGAATGAAGTTTAAGTTTGCGTAGGCTTATTCAATGAGTAATATATATATTTCAAGGTTCTTTTTCGTTATTTTAAAAAGGATACGTGTTCTTTAGTATTAAAGATTGTATTTAACACAGCCAAACTTTGACAAAGAGAGACAAGTCTTCAGAAATAATGTACTCCATGTAGGTGTGGAGTATGGTCAGAGAGTGAGGGCAAAACATGACCAAAAGCCATTTTTATTTTCAAGAATGACAATAGCTATCTTAAGGAATCTTGCTGCCATTATACTATATTTTACTAAATAAAGGATGTTAAGGGTTAGTTGTACTTTTAAAAACTCTAATGTTTAAAAGAAAATGCTCGATATATAGGCCCCCTTATTCAAAACTACCGTCCTTGTTAAATTCTCCCAACATATCTAATATAGATTACATAACACGTTATTAATAAAATAATTTAACAAAAGAACCAATTTTAAAACCCTTGCTAATGGCTTAGAGTGTATTTAAAAGATGATGAGTTACCGTGTATAGTTACTCTATCGTGCATGGACATTACAGCAAAAATGTTTTTTGTATGTGAATGATTTAGTCATGACAAGAATGGCGATTTTCCATAACACCCATTAAAGCATCTAAAACCCAATTATGCATCCTAGCCATTAACGATTCAGCTTTTTTCATTGCATGAAGATTTCCCATTTCATTTGTCCCAGTTGATTTCTGAGAGATATAAATAAAACACACGGTTTACAAAAAAGCTGCAAAAAGCAATGTTACAGAAAGGTGCCAATTTTATGCCTAAGTAGAGCTACTCGCCCACGCCCGGTCGTTTTAAGAGGTTGTATGGTGAACTAAGTACCACTAGGAACTTCCACAAAGGACAACTTGATTACAGTTCAGCCAACGTTAACCTTGGGATACGTCGTTTTCCAAGAAAGTCTCATTTCTTGGCATCTGTTTGGTTAAGGCTCACGTTTAAAGACCTGAGGGAGATTTTAAAATCGGACGCACGTGACTGATCAGGTTTGACACAGTCCTAGGTGGCTTCTGTTGATCTCACGTATGAACACAGAAGAAAGAAATGCAATTGTGAACAGCAAGGGAAATACTTGATGGAGTAAAGAAAATGGAATGTCAGAGATAGAAATAACTGAATATGATTAAAATAAAATTCACAACTCTCTCTCTTTCACTGTTGACCACTACCTCTCTTTCCTTGTTAATAAGGCAACAAAACGGTTTACGAAGAGGACTTATTTCCAAATCCATCTTCTACATTGTTATTTATCCCTTTAAAGCAATAAATCCAATATAAAACAATGTATATTGTCACGGGCATACTGGTCCAACGTTATCTAAAAAGCAATAATATAAACTGTGACAAAGGCAGATCCAGGGGGCAACCCTCCCCTCCTCCTCATGTCAGAGGTACCCCCTTTCCCCCATCTATCCCCCAAAATGGATGTATGTTTGTGTATGTAGGGGCATGTAAGGTCAATTTTCTGTGGTTTTTGGATCCCAAGAGCTGAGGCTTATCGGTGATAATATTTCTTCCACGTCCGAAATATTCTCTGGGTGAAAAGTGCATACGTGACCAACTTCATGAAACAAGAAGTGACAACAGAGTTCGTATTTCTGTGCGGACAGGTAAACTCTGCCTAGAATAGAAAAGCCTCTAGGAACAAATGAATAAATTGCCCCGATAGATGTAATGTGAAAATGAATATTTTTCATCCATATTTATCTCTTTGATTTACTTACAAGTGCTTATTTTGCTACAACATACCCAAAGCCTTCTGGACGACAACAAGGCCGGAAATCTGCAACACTGCTCCATAAAAAACAACTCTTGACAAAATCGCCACAGGTTAGTCATATCCTCCACAATAAAAGATACTGAATTTTGGGTGAAGCCTTTATTATATTCAACGCCTTTCATACTCACAATATCAATTTGTTCAAGGCCCACTAAGCCTATTATGTT